AGGGAAAGGCAACTGCCTCTTCGGTATAGGAAATATAACCTGGGCACTCTGATGTTGCGAGAAACTGCGAGAAAGCGCGAGAATTTACGTGCTTTGGGGAAAAACCCGCCTCTTCAATCTTTTTGGAAATTGATTGCCGGTGACAAATGATACATTGATTGCAAGCCTTTGTTGTTTGTTTTCACAATTATAACCATTACTATTATCCATATGTTGTAAAGCGCCTTAGAGTATTTTTACAAATTATATAGGGCGCTATATAAATGCTGTATATTATTATTATTATTATTATTCTGGTAAATCCTGTACCGTAAAATTGTTATCCAAGTCCGTGTGATGACAAAATGGATGGCAAGTTCACAAAACAGTTATCATGATACATATTACAAGTTTGTTAATTTTTTCCAACAAAAGACAAATTCCATTTAATACTGTTGTGTTACAAAATGACAACAGACCGCTCATTTTAATTTGAGATGGATTTTTTTCTATAATACCACGGACTTGGATAACAGTAATCTAATTCCGTGATAATAAAGAGGAATATTTTTTTCTAGGCTCTACCATTATTAAATTTCTCAATAACCAAAAGGCCCAGGGTACTGATATTGGGCCTGTAGCATGCTGGGATAAAGGCCAACAAGTTTGGTCAAACGAGTGACCTTGACCAACTTTCATGGTCACAGGAGTCAAATGTCTTAAATTTTTCAAACAACTTCTTCTCAATAACAAAAAGGCACAGAGTACTGATATTTGGCAAGTAGCATGCTGGGATGAAGGTCTACCAAGTTTGTTCAAATGAATGACTTATATTCAAGGTCACAGGGGTCAAATATGTTAAAAACACTTAAACAACTTCTCAATAACCGCAAGTCCTAGAACAATGATATTTGGCCAGTATCAAGCTGTGATGAAGGGCTACCAAGTTTGTTCAATTGAATGACCTTCACTTATATTCAAGGTTACAGGGGTCAAATATGTTTATAACCTTTAAACAACTTCTGAACAACTAAAAGGCCTGGGGGTATGATATTTGGCCAATAGCATTCTTGGATGAAAGGCTACCAAGTTTGTTCCAATGGATGACCTTCGTCCATTTTCAAGGTCACAGGGGTCAATTGTCTCAAAAAATCTTTAAACATCTTCTTTTGAATAACTAAGAGGCCTGGGATAATGTTATTTGGCCAGGAACATGCTAGGATGACGGGCTACCAAGCTTGTTCAAATAAATGACCTTTACTTATTTTCAAGGTCACAGGGGTCAAATATGTTAAAAACCTTTAAACAACTTCTCCTCAATAACCAAAATGCCTATGGTGATGATATTTGGCCAGTAGCATGCTGTGATGAAGGGCTACCAAATTTGTTCAAATGAATGACCTTTAGTTATATCCAAGGTCACAGGAGTCAAATGTTAAAAAAAAACTTTATACGACTTCATAATTAGCAAAAGGCCCAGGGTGATATTTGGCTATTAACAGGCTGGGATGAATGGCTACCAAGTTTGTTAACATGAATGACCTTCACCCATATTCAAGGTCACAGTGGTCTTTAAATAACTTGTTCTGTTTATTTGGCAAACGCATGCTGGGTTGGAAGACTATAAAATCTGTTCAACCTAATTCACAGGCGTCATATGTTTAAATCTTTTAATAGGTTTTTATGAATCAAACACTGATATTCTGCCTCTAGCTGTATTTTAGACCACGTTTAAGATTACACGTGTGAAATTAATACCAGGTGAGCGATTCAGGCCCATTGGGCCTCTTGTAAGTGTAGCATCTTATTTGCCTTCAGTAGGTATTTCCATATTATTTAGCATATGATTGCATTTTATTTCGGATATAATCCGTTATTTCTTTTCATGTCATGTTATTATAATTTGCATATTAGATCAATTAGAAATAAATTGTTTTCGTTTATAGCATATACAATGTTAAAATAGCATATAACCTTAATATCAAAATTGGTTGTTGCCAAATTTTCATTTCAAGATCAAAGCGTAGTTTTGCCTTTGTCGATATTGTGGAATTACCAGTATGTAGTATTTACAGAACTGATTTTGTGAAGAATTCAGTATCTATTTAATTAACTTTTGGGAGTTTGGACTTGTTCTAATTAAGGCTGTTTCATTATCCTGGTGCATGAAAACTAATTTGTTATAAACTTTTTTTCGTTAAAAAGAGATGGATTATTAACTTCAGTGTTTTAGCCTGCACACATACAGAACAGATTACTCATCCTTCATACATTTAAGGATTTACCTTCATTTTGCGGCGTATATGGTAATATGAACGCAGCCAACTGCCTCCCGTTGTAGGGTTTGACCTTTACATCTTGTATATACCTCCCGTTGTAGGGTGTGATCTTTACATCTTATATATACCTCCCGTTGTAGGGTGTGATCTTTACACCTTACATATACCTCACGTTGTAGGGTGTGACGTTTACACCTTATATATACCTCCCGTTGTAGGGGCTGTTATATGTATGTATGCTAATATTTTTGTAGGTATGTGTGCTATTATATGTAAGTATGCTATTATATGTATGTATGCTATAATGTATATATGCATGTATGTTGTTATATGCATTTATGCTATTATACGTTATATGTATGCTTGTATGATGTTATATGTATGTATGCTTATATAATATATGTAGCTATGTATGCTATTATATGCATGTATGCTATTATAAGTTAATATATTCAAGTACGCTGTTGTATGTATGTATCCTAATATATGTATATAGGTATGTGTGCTATTATATGTATGTATGTATGCTATTATATGTATGTATGTTATTATATGTATGATATTATATATATATAAATGTATGCTGTGATATGTATGCATTTGTGCTGTGATAAGTATGTATGTATGTATGTATGTATGCTGTTATATGTATGCAGGTATGCTGTTATATGTATGATGTATGTATGCTATTACATGTATGTATGCTATAATGTATATGCATGTATGCTGTTATTTGTAAGTAGGTATGATGTTATATGTATCTATGAATGTTTTTATATGTATGCATGTATGCTGTTATATGTATGTATGCGAATATATGTATGTATGCTGTTATATGCATGCATGTATGCTAATATATGTAGGTATGCTTATATATGTATGTAGGTATGATAATATATGTATGTAGGTATGTGTGCTATTAAATGTATGTATTTATGCTATTATATGTATGCATACTTTTATATGTATATATGTTATTATAAAAGTATATATGTTATTATATGTATGTATGCTATTATATGCATGTATGATATTATATGGTATATGTTTGCTGTTATATGTATACATGTATGCTGTTATATGTATGCATTTATGCTGTTGTATGTATGTGTGCTATTATATGTATGTATGATATAATGTATATATATGCATGTATGTTGTTATATGTATGTAGGAAAGCTGTTTTATGTATGTATGCTAATCTATGTATGTAGGGGTGTGTGCTATTATATGTACATTATTATACGTATACTATTATATGTTATATGTATGCATGTTTGCTGTTATATGTATACATGCATGCTGTTATATGTATGCATGTATGCTGTTGTATGTATGTATTCTAATATATGTATGTAGGCATGTGTGCTATTATATGATGTTTTTATGCTATAATGTATATGCATGTATGTTGTTATATGTTTATAGGTATGCTGTTACATGTATGTAGTAATGCTTTTATATGTACGCATGTATGCCGTTATATATATGCATGTTTTATACACAACAAAACAACAGTAATTATAGTTCAAAAAAATGTATTAGAGGTTCGAAACTAGTGACTTGTTCAGTTATACAAATTTTAAGATTTATTATTTTTGGCATTCTTGGGGGCTGCTCATAAGGTAATTTAAACTACTCAACATAATATGACCTTAAACAAAACAAAGTACTTTACATACAAAATACCTATTAATACTAACTCATCGAGCGATCTCGACACGAGGCAGGCGACCCTACTGTGTAAGACAGAAAAGACATGTAGCCTAGCGAGCGATTCCACTAGGCGTGTAAATACATCAGCAAGCGTGAATTTAGGTTCATGTACATGGCTCAAGAGGTATCCCCACTCGCAGGTATTAAGCCAATACGTGACTACGTCTGCAGGTACAAAGATACAGACTCACTTCAGACAATAAACCTATAACGTACACTATATATATACACAATATACATTTATGACAAAATATATACATGACTGAATTGGGGGTAAAAAATCCCCAAGAATTTAATGCCTACAAAAAATAAATTGAAACATTAACAGCCCCCAAAAAACATTTCTGATGTATATAGGTAAGCTGCGAGCCGGCTACCCCAACCTGAATCAGGGCGGTAGGTTTACCCTTTGCTCAAGACCAGCAGGCGAGTGTTGTCTCACTCATCAAAAGCCAAGAAAATATCTGAAACAAGTCACACACACGGAAAAAAAAGTAAATAAAAAATGGCTGAACAAATACAAATTATGCTTAGATGTATATTACATCTCATGGTCGTTTAGTCGAAAAATAAACACAAGGCAGAAATACATAGCCATATTTAAAACATACATCAATAATAGCCATACAAAACAACAGAAAAAGTATGATACATGACAAAAAAACAACAACATATGAATACTTTTAAGCATTGGACAATATATATATATAATGGCGACAGAGGGGCGGTGGTGGGGCAACAAAATTAAAACTGCCAAACTGACCAACGCTTGTGTAAACAATGACCACGATGGACAATTAATTGAAGGCCCCCTAGGCCTAATTGCTATGCATGTATGCTGTTATGTGTTCATGTATGCTGCTATATGTATGTATGTATGTAAGCTATTATATGTATGTATGCTATTATATGTATATATGTATGTATGTATGCTGTTATATGCATGTTATTATATGTATGCTGTTATATCTATTGTATGTATGCTATTATATGTATATATACTATTATATGTATGTATGCTGTTGTATGTATGTATGTATGTATGTATGTATGTATGTATGTATGTATGTATGTATGTATGTATGCTGTATCCAGGTGACCCGAGAGGTTAGAGAATTGCGGACGACCCCTTAAGTTTAAAAGTGTATGCAAATGTACTTAGATTTATTAACAACATATATAAAGTATGTGATTATGTACAACATAGGTTAGCAAAAAAAAACCATAATTAATTAGGGGTATAATTCCCCAGAACTACACGCCCGATTTATGGGGTGTCCCCGCCAGGCACAATATTGGTGAACCTGATGGAGCTTAGAGACAATGTTAAGATAAAAACAAGACTTTAATATTACAACTTACTTACCTGGTAAAGTGAGCAACCAAAAATCTTAAACAGAGACAGAAATTCAAGAAAAGAAAATTATATATATACAAGTTACAATGAACACAAATGAAAAGATGCTGCGAGCCGGCTACCCCAACCTTACCACATGGGTCAGCTGGCCAGTGTTATCTCACTTAGTCGCCTTATCCTAACCGAAGTACTAGAACAAGCTACATATATAAGAGAGAGAAAAAAACATAACATAAACATGTACAAATTCGCAGCTGATATAATGATATAAATGATTGTTTCAATAGGTTTAGCCTTTTATTACTTTGATTCAGTTCATAGATTCTCCTCTCCTTCACATTTTTCCAGGCAGCAAAGTCAAATGAAGCCCCAACATATCCTTCAGTTTTTTTCAACATCACTTTTTTTCTCTGTTTTGTCAATTGTTCCTAAAGGCAGTCAGGTGCGATACTGCACAGAAAATTCCCTTTCAGTTTTCAGTTTAGCAACTTTCAGTACTTTGATTCAGTTCATAGATTCTCTTCTCCTTCACATTTTTCCAGGCTAGCAGGGCTTCCTCAAAGTCAAATGAAGCCCTATAATATCCTTCAGTTTTTATCAACTTCACTTTTTTTCTGTTTTGTCAATTGTTCCTAAAGGCAGTCAGGTGCGATACTGCACAGAAAATTCCCTCTCACAGTCTTCAGTTTGGCGACTTTCAGTACTTTGATTCAGTTCATAGATTCACCTCTCCTTCACATTTATCCAGGCTAGCAGGGCTTCCTCAAAGTCAAATGAAGCCTTATCATATCTTCAGTTTTTATCGACATCTCTTTTTTTCTGTTTCTGTTATTTTTTACAAGGTTTAGGTACTGCAAAAACAAAATATTAAAATAAACTATTTTTAATTGTTGGTAGTGATATTTTGATTACTATTATAATATTATTGAAATATTATAAGCAGACCCTTAGATTTCTTAAATTTTTCCAGGAGACATCACATTTGCAATAATGTAAAGTATATCATTTTTGGAGATTTGTAATGAAAACAAAGCAAATCATGATCATAAGTATGTACATACAATAGATTCACAAAGATAGGTCTTTCAACAGATTTCTTTAAATCCCTTTTTCACATCTATACTTCTAATCGTACTCAAGCTACATGATTTACCTCCAATTACCCATTTTACTCCATCTTAACATTTAATTCATATCCTCTCAATGTAAGATAGTTAAGTATCAAGTATATTTAAATATGTGCAGTCATTTGGGAGAAGTGCTAACAATGTATAACATAAAAAGGTCATAAATCTACAAACAAGGGAAGTAACTCTATTCTTTATGGTTTACTCATGTCCCTTAGTTTTAGTACTATGTGTCCAAAGTATCATTCAAATTGGTGCAGTTCTTTGGGAAGTGTCGCTTTTTTCTTGAAAATGTTGTAGTGTGAACAATGTTGTGTCTACAGACAGATTGACAGTCATCCCGATTCCAACAAACTTTGTTAAACTTCCTTTCATTGCAAAGGAAAGTAAATCCAGCTGTTTTATTTTAGTTCAAGCTACACTTACCTTGTTTTTTTAATGGGGCAATCTTTCCGTCCTGAGGTCAGAATTCTTCAAATTTGTGTCATCTTGACAATAGACAGACTTCCCAGCAAAGAAGATAGATGAAGCCTCAAGAAGATTTAGTCATGTCCCAACTAGTTTTGTCCATTCTTTCACAAAGTATTCAAGTCCAGACACAAACAATCCTCCAGCACAAGATTTACAGAGCAGTACAACACACATGGCGGTCCATTGGTCCATCAAGCCCGACCGCACAGGCCTGACGTTCCAATCATGATGCTGTAAAGCCATACTCGTGTCAGATTCATGTCTGTATTTGGAATTAAATGCATTGTCAAAAAAGGGACAGTTCGAAGTTGAGAAATGACTAAACCAACTGAGTTCCAAATATTTCCACTGCTAAGTCATCCATCTAGAGTTAGACTCAACGCATTCGAAAACCCTGACCAGGTGACTGTCCGAGACGTTGGACAATCTCCTACAAAAAAACCAGCTCAATCACATAACAATCACCTTTTTTCCCCATCAACAACCTGGTCTTATGAAATTGTTCTTGTTAAGCATTGCTTTTGCTCATGCAGTCAAAAAAACATTATGATGTACATTTATAACAAATATAACTAATTTAAAAAATTACAAAAATCACCAAACATAATTTTATGTTTTTTAAATAATAATATGGGGTTTAAATTTGGTTTTGATACCAGCCAGTGAAGTAGAGAGGGTTTATATATATAGTTGCCTTGTTTAGTCATCCATCAATTTATCCCAAATAAATCTGGATGGAGTGTATTTATGTGAGATAAAATTGTTTGTGTCGATTGGTTTGGTTCCGTTAAGTATTAAGTATTGTTTACCCTTCTAACAACAGCTATGGTCATTGAAGGTAAAAACCAGTGTAAGTCGGGATACCTGAAACATACATTTTTTGTCCTTATATATTTCCTTCTCTTTCTTATATATTTTCCAGTTTACTAATAAATATGGGTTCTCGCTGCTAAATATGTGTCGTCTGCTAATCGCTTTTAGTAAGAAAGGTGTTTTGGCTGGAGTTAACGCGTAAACAAATATGCCAAAACGCAAAAAGTTGAAACTCGACTGAAAAGCTCGTAATATATGTTGAACATTATTGCTTCTAGTATTAACGTACAAAATTTAAACGGAATTAATTAAAAAAGTAAAAAAGTTCTTGAATTTACTACACAATGCCCTGATTTGGCAATAAAAGGGGCATGCCTCCACCCAAAATGGACGTGAACTTCTGAAATGCGAACTTGTCCGAGCTATATTGGTATACCATATGTGTACCAAGTTTGAGTTCAATCAACCCCAGGGAACTCAAGTTAGCGAGAACCCATCTTAACTCTGCACAATAAAAAAAATCTCATACCTTCAGGAAAAGGCACTAATGCTTCAGATGAGTCCAATGTCGTGGAACCCAACATATTACTGTAAGAGAAATGTATAATGATATATAAACTCAATTTACGCATTGATATCTCAAAACAAAATGATAATTATAAATTTGCCATCGTTGTGAAGGGCAAAAAAGGCAAAAAATAAACTGTAGCAAATATTTCATGGTATACAATAAACTATATCTCTAACAACAACAGTTTCCTTGTTTTACAATAGATACACGTGTTTTTGGCTAGTGGTGGGGATGGGTTGGGGATAAACAATGCCTTGTAGTATCTATTTAGACCAGCACAATGTTCAGTTATTGAAAGAGCAAGATGAAAGATACCGCAGATAGACAGATTACTGGACAGATGTATGAACATTATGCACAAAGTAGGAAATGATGGGAACAAAAGCACCATAAGCAGGTGCCCAATACACCACGGTATACCTCATTCAAGCTTTCATGAGTATTAACTTGGTTACCACATACATCTATTAAGGTAGGTGAAAAACATCCCTCTCCAGTAGTGTTAGTATTCAAGACAACAAGTAGAGGAAACTATCAAATGTTGACGGACAAAACCGTATTGAAACTAGTAATTATTGTAACGGATGGCCGTTACAGATTAGTCCCCCAAACGACCCCTGTTGGACTTAGGAACATAGCCAAAATCAGACAACAGCTAAATTTCGACCTGTCAGAGGACTCCATTTTGTTACCATGGCAACTGAGCTGTTCGAAACTGTTACCATTGTGTTCGGCATCCCTTAAAACCCCTATGTACCAATTCTGGGCAAAATCAGAAAACAACTAAATTTCGACCAATCAGAGGCCTCCATTTCGTTACCATGGCAACTGAACTTTTCGAAACTGTTACCATTGTGTTCGGAATCCCTGAAAACCCTTGTGTACCAAATTTGGCCAGAATCAGAAAACAACTAAATTTCGACCTATCAGAGGCCTCCATTTTGTTACCATTGCAACTGAACTTTTCGAAACTGTTTCCATTGTGTTCGGCATCCATTAAAACCCCTATGTACCAATTCTAGGCAGAATCAGACAACATTAAAATTTCGACCAATCAGAGGCCTCCATTTCGTTACGAAGGCAACTAAATCTTTCGTAACTGTTACCATCGTGTTTTGCATCCCTCAAAACCCTTATTTACCAATTCTAGGCAGAATCAGACATCTAAATTTCGACCAATCAGAGGCCTCCATTTCTTTACCATTGCAACTGAACTTTTCGAAACTGTTACCATTGTGTCCGGAATCCCTGAAAACCCCTATGTACCAATTTTGGGCAGAATCAGACAACAACTAAATTTCGACCAGCCAGAGGCCTATATTTTCGACCAATCAGATGCTTCCATTTCGTTAACATGACAACTGAGCTGTTCGAAACTGTTTCCATTGTGTCCGGAATCCCTGAAAACCCCTATGTACCAATTTTGGGCAGAATCAGAAAACAACTAAATTTCGACCAGCCAGAGGCCTCTATTTTCGACCAATCAGAGGCTTCCATTTCGTTAACATGACAACTGAGCTGTTCGAAACTGTTTCCATTGTTTTCGGCAGCCCTGAAAACTACAATGTACCAATTTTCTACGAAATCGGAACCAAAAACTCCAAAACCGGAAGTAAGGTTCTGGCGGCCATCTTTGACTTCCGGTTGTGATAAAAATAGCCTGTTGCACACCTAGAAAACCTCTGGACAAGTTCATGGCTGAAGAAGAAGAAGAAGAAGAAGAAGAAGAAGAAGAAGAAGAAGAACACAGAAGAATAAAAACAATAAGTCCCCAAACAATGTTTAGGGGAATTAATTAATAAGACAATTTTTTGACCTTCTGTTATTAATGACATTGACCTTTGACCTTGTGATGTATCAAGACATGTCTTTAAATTTAGGCAGTACAGCCATGATAAGGACTGACTTTATGATGCAGGGTGTAACACGGACTATACATCAGTTTATTAACTGGATAATCAAAGAAATTGGACAATCAGCAAATAGGTGAACAGCAGAGATACCAGCAGAAAAAACGTCTAAGAGAAAAATGTGCAAAGATCAACAATCAAGTGAAACTGAACAAAAAACATCCCAACATGTAACAAGGTACTAAAGAGAAATTGCGGACAAAGTTCCATACAGATAATAAAGGGCCATAACAACACTGGTGAAATTAACACACCTCAGACTCCATTTTCCCAAGATGCACAAGTATTAAGTTTGGTTAGCATAAGTGAAAAAGACAAATGTTAACAATGAAAATGGTCCCCCTAGAGTATCTCTAAATCACCTACAAATGTGAAGCTTATTAATTTATCAGCTAAACAAGATATTGGGCTTGCATGAGCGCAGAATCTGAGTTTGAGCTTGACAACGGATTCATTAATACTGATATTGGCCAAGGTCTTGTATTCATGAAACTGTTATCATGCTAAAGCGCCGTGTCAATTCTCTGCTTACACCAATTGTCTTATCACTTGCTTAAATCATTTGACATGGCAAAAAAGTAAAGGCTATTTATTGAATTTTTCATCAATATATCAGGAACCTAAATATTATTTTTAAATGGGCAGGAGCACACAATCTGAGTTTGAGCATGAAAATAGTTTCATAAATACAGGCCTTGAAAGCAAAATAAATTCTAATAACTTCATAGTCTTGATAGTTTCAAGGCATTATTATTTTTTATTGATCTGTAAAAAACATACATCTAAAGTCAGGTTAATTCAATTTGATATTGCTTACCTTGCCTAACGGAATTTCCCCGCTCTACGGCGACATAGACCTGCCACTATGTCACACCCTTGGGCCCTTAGCACGGCCCTTTTGACTGCCTCCACACTGTGGCTAAAAGAAGAAATAAACTGCATTAAAAATTAAAATCATAAAATGTCTGTCTTTTAAAGCTCTATTGAAATAAAAAGACTACTTGTCAGAACGGTAACACAAGTGTCAAAATTAGGTTGGATGAAAATTGGTATGTAAAATCATCAACAGACTGTAATTGAAGCAAAAACAGAAAAATATAAATAACAACATGTCAAAATGTCATTTTCACCTTTTTTAACATTGTTATTTACCTCAGTGTGAAGAAAGTCAAACCAACACGAAACATGGCAGTGTCTCGGTGCCACCTCCAGGCACGTCCCCCGTGTCCTTCATGAAAGAAAATTAAGATAAACATGAGATTTCTTTTCTTATGAGAGCAACTACTAAATAGATAAGATTAAATACTCAGGTCTGAACTGATATGATGACCAATTTTGATGGAAATAATTTTTCAAAATTTTAGCTACATTCAAGGTCAACATTGAAGAGAATAGAAATTAACTGCAATGAACATTTTACTTCCTCATTTTCATAATTAATTCCAAGAGTGTCAATTACCTTCTATGGACCGGGGGCATATGGAGAGAGATCGGGATGACGGCGTCGATCTCTGCGCCTGCGCCTGCTCTAAAAATGAACAACAATATACTTGATTATGTTATGCTCGATGAACAGGTACTTCATGGAATGGATTGTCTGGTAGCACTGGTCTACATTTAATTAATTTGATAGTTTTGGATGTATTTATCTGACAGTTTTCATATATACACTTTTCTAAGCAGACAGTAATTAAACTGAATACATAGTACATTTCTACTTTTGAAGACCAGCTGTATAGTATATATTACCTTTTTTTTTTTTTTTTGTGGGGATAATCATATGCAACTATTACAGTTTGTATTTTCTCAATGTTACCAAGATCAATATTTACATGTAGCCATCATTGATATGTTAATATTGATATAGAAAATGTTTGTAAAACACACATATGCCAATTTGATGGAAATGGAGCTAACCAAATTTAATTTATACATTAGAATTGGTGAAGTAGAAAATACAGTCAATATTTTCATGCAATTATTTACCCTCCTCTGGAGGCTGGCAGGCCATCCTATTCCGTCAGTCAGATATTCTGGACCAGATGACCTTTACCCTAGTCAGATTTTTCGACGCAAGAGGTACTGTTGCAAAAATAGATTTATTCTAGTTCAGCCGCACTCATCCATCCAGTCACAAGATAATTTAACCCCAGCTCGGAAACAACCAATATGAAGCACATGACTCAGTATGATTACATGTTCCCCTCAGGACTATCACGGAGGGGTACATGATATCGGATCCCCACATATACCCATAAAGATCTTTGTACCTCAATAAAGGTGTTCGCCAGGGTTAAAAACTTTGTTAAAGGAGCGAATAATACAGCTGAAATGTCATGAATCTATCCAGCTTCAGATAACCCAGACGCCAAATCACCCAACTAGAGCTCAGACCACCTTCCTAGATATATCTGACCAGGGTTCTGTCCACTAACAGTAAGACAGTCCTGTAAAAAAAAAAAAAAAAAAATATTAACATCATTTTGGTAAATTTTACATTAATTGCTAGATGGAAAAGAAGAAGTTGGAAAAAAATTTGTAGTCTTTTGCTGGTTTTCCCCTACTGGGCCCAAACCACCCAGCCCTTCTGTAATATTCCAGATGTATGAATGGTGTAAATTTGTTTAAGTCTTTGAGTAAAATCTTTCAAGATACCATATATAACACACAGCTAAATGCACTTTAACGGCTGCTCGACCAGGAAATGTAAGTCACATTTATGATCAGTATCTGTTTATGATCTTAAATAGCCAAGATGAAAACTATGGTCCGAATTTGGTGGTCATTCGTAATCTTTATTTCTCCCTGCCAATCTTTCAAAACAGTTTTTAATGGAGTAAAAGATTATTTTTTAGATAGCAAAAAAGTTTTTTTATGAATTATCATCTTGTATTCAGAATGATTACTAGTAAAGTGTTGATGGACAGACAGATGGACAACGTGATTAATATAGGTCATGCCGTATATTCAACATTTATCAATTTGAAACTAGAACTGTAAGCTAAAAGGCTAACTAATACCCGCTCCTATATCAACCAGAACTTTAAGCTGAAGGGTTACTAAGGCAAAGCAAACAGTCTCCCACCAGTAACAAGTATTTCGCACAAAGCTTCCAAAGGGGCATAACT